GGGTCATGTCTGCAGTGCAAAGCTTTATTTTTAGTACTCTTTGTATTGAGACTGACATGTCTCAAACTGAAAAATACGTGGTCAAAGCAGACAAAGCAACTTTAAGTGGTGTGCTTGCTGATAATACGCAGTATAAAGGCAGTTCACATACTGTATATAAAATACGGACATGGCAACCATGATGTCACCCTCTGGTTTCGAAGGTGCCGTGTTTGGATAAAAGTGGAATCCAAAGTAACAGACTAGAATTTTACTGGATAAGCGCTTCATCCCGCTCTGGGACATAAGGAAAAAAGGTGCATCAAACTGGCTCCAAGTAAGGTCTAGCCTCAGAATTTTACCAGAGGACAAACGTTTTATTTAACAGAAGTGAAGTACATACTTTTTGGACACATACTACCACACAGTCAGTCTTATTTGTCATCTAATCCAGTTAAAAAATATTCTAGAAGTCACCAACAGTGCAAATACGATGGAATTTGTTGCACAAAGTCGCAATAATTTTGGCTCTGACTGCTGTTGTGACTGTAGCATTAATGACTAACCTCGTCTTGTGGATGGGGTCATTGCAGATGTTCTCTTGGTTGCACCATGGACCTTGCACTGAAAGCAGTTTAGCCATTCTAGGTCTGCTAATGTGTTTATATTAGCTTAACCGTAGCGCTATAGCATGCCACACGGTGATTTTACATCAACTAGCTCCGCTTTGCTAACCTCCAAATGTCACTGCTATTTCCTTTTCCATCTTCATTCATCCAAAGTAATAGCAGCGCTGTTCTGGGGGGTTGTTTTGTTTATTTAAGTCAGAACACTTACTGCCAATTTCTATTCCTGCCTCTAAACCTCATATATCCTATTTTTTTATGGATGTCTGGACTTCAAACTTTATTGCAACACCTAGAAGAACAGCCACTCTGATCATTTTAATGGACACAAAAGAATTTCCATTCTACAGTAGGAATCCAGTGGGATTTGAGATTACAGTTATTTCCCATGATTGAGGAATTCCCAGTGAGAGCGGATCACAGGCTTGCATTGATTAAGTTAGGGTGGCTGTGGCTCAGAAGGTACAGGGAAAGGTCGGTGGAATGATTCTCTAACTACTCCAGTTTACATGTCGACGTATCCTTGGGCAAGATAATGAACCTCAAGTCGCCTGTGATTGCATCCTTAGACGAGGCAGTTAGGTATACAAAAAAGTATATGAATGTGTGTGTAATTGGGTGAATGAGGCTTTGAGTAAAAAGCACTTTGAGTGCCCACTCAAAGCAAGCTGCCTTATATAGGGATAGCTACTCTAAAGCTAACAGTCAAGGGCAAAAGATGTCCCTCGGTAGTTCATGGTATGTGCAGAAGGCTTGGAAATAAAGGATGTTCTGTTCTCGTACTGCAATCTAGTGCCAGTTAGTCCTAGTCCTACATGTGCACCAGAACTGTTTCATGTCATTTTGTCCATTTGACCATTAGCAGGAAATAATGAGTCGGTTGGCTTATTTAAACACTAAACAAACAGCCTCCCCATTCAGTATTAATTAGTGTTGACGCCAGTGCTGTTTATAAGTGGTAAATTGGTAATTACACTATGACGTGAACACGGCATTGAGCGTTGAAAATGACCCCTGTGTCTAACATTAGTGTAGAGTAGACATAACTGATATAGCCGCCACAGAGGATATGCTTGTTCTTGTAAACAGGGTTTTATTATTATGACCACCACACACTAATGTGACCTAATTACCCAGTAATATGCTCCTTGCCCTTGCTTGCCAATAGCTGAATATACAGTTTGGAAAGCAACTGTTTTGCTCTTCGTATTAACACCTGAACATGTTTTCTTTTTTAAATATGTACTTAAAGCAGGGACTGAGGCAGAAAAGTGCAACACAGCTCGGACAGATAATGTCTTTGGAGACCATCTATGGGAAGAATGGCAGCAGGGTTTTGGTGCATGTTGGTTCCCAGAGGACCGATAAAAGTCAGTGAACAGCAGCCGAGGCTTTGAAAAGCCCCAGGGAGCTCAGAGGCTCTATAGAAGAGTGACACCGGGAGGCAGAGAGCTGGTGATTTGTGTCCTCCGAGGACAGGAGAAAGCTGGAAAGGACTCGGTCAGGCCGCGGCAGCCATCTGCAGCGAATCCTCTCCATCTCGTCTCATCTGTCTTCTTCCTTTTTTTCTTATTAAAGCACCCCAGGCCTCACCTCCCTCACCTCTTTGCCCTATGAGGGGTCCCCCGTGCCGGCCACTGACCACCGCTGTGTAGTTTTCCCCGACTGCCCTCTCACCCTCGCATTGTGAAGAGATAATAAATGACATTTAAATAATCATTTTCTAGTATCATCGACAGGGTGACATAGTGCCGCGCCAAGTAAGCTTCTTTCACCGAAAACTCATTTCTCAGTCATAGTTAGATGGAGAACAGCTGTTACATGACAAAAGCTAAATATATGCATTTAAAAGGAAAACCCATGTGTTTGTTAAGAAGCACTTAACCATTTCTAGCTTTGGTAAAAAGTAAGAACGTGGATTAAACACGCCATAATGGTGCCACTCTCATTTAGCCACCTGTTAGCAAACGTCTCCTCTGGGACATTTAAAAGCTTTAAAGTAAAAAAATGTAGGGTTTTATTTTCATGGCAGACGTTTGGACTCACTGTAAAAGGAATAGCAAAGGAAAGACCTCAGTCACAAAGGCTTAGAGTCTGGTCTGCAACTCCTTGGTTACCACCCGTTGCTATGGAGAAATGTGTGTTCTACCAACAGGTTGGGGAGTGGTTTCCGGCAGTTGCTAGGTGAAATTAGTCACAAGGTTACGGTGCTGTGCCAGAAACCTCTCCAGTCGCTACCCGATTGCCTGTAGTTTGCATGAGGGATGCCAGCTTGTCTAATCAGTCACACAGTGAGGAGATCAAAGAAAAGGCCATTACACCGAGCGTTTGACATAAACTAGTGTTATTTCACTATTTTCATATCATTGTATGTTCAGTACCAGTGCGTGTTTTGAGCTATGGGTGTATTGTTGCCAAATGCTGTGGTCTGACTGGTCAGATCTATTTATTCGGATCTGAAAAATTGGTTTGAAAAAATAACTAAATAAACTCATCCAAGGAAATTACTTGGTCGGTGTGGAGGGTTGCATTTAGGATTGGTGAGTCTGAAAAATGTTTTATTGCACAAAATAATCACACGGACGCTTCCAGTGTGTAAAGGCCTTAAAAGCTGCATTTCTTTTTTGCATAAATTTCTATTATATTTTTAACCTTCTTGGCTTTTATTTGGGACCAAAGGAGCATCATAGCCACGTGAATTAACTATCAATAATAAAATGACAGTGTGACAGTTTACAAGTTTCAAAGAAAGTGCAGTGACTAGTGTGAAGACTCAAGTGGTTTCTCATGCCTGTCATCTTTAGCTTGTAGCAGCAGACTACAGAGCACCACCCGAGGTCAGCAGTCTTACAGCCTCAGGGAAGAAGGTCTTCCTCAGTCTGGGGGTCCTGCTTTGATGCTCCACGGCCTCCTGCCTGAGGGAAGTGAAACAAACAGTGTGTGTGCTGGGTGAGTAAGGTCTTTCAAGATGCAGAAGACACTTTTCCTGCATCTGCTGGAGTTGATGGTGGTGGTGTTGGACCGATCGTCAGCAAAGACTTGCCACACAGTGATGCAGAAGCAGAGGAATCCTTCACCACACATCTGTAGAATACGTTAAAGACTGAGCTCCCATGTCCAGCGAGCCTCAGAGAACAACACGAGTCTTACCGTTTCTGATCTTAATCGCACTGTTTTAAGTTTCACTATCACTTGGTAGTCTTCGCTGCAAACTCCAGGCGATGGAAGCATTCTTCGAGCAACCAAAACAATCACACAGGGGTTTTTGGTGCAGCAACCATCACCAAGAAACAACAATCCGCTCACCAGCTATTGAGGGAACGTGCATTTTTCCCTATTGACCTGCGACTGCCAAAGGTTTGGCAACTAAACTCTTAGCCTGTGTGACTGAGGCCTAGAACAGGCTAACGATGGCTCAGTTAAATGTTAGAAAGCAAAACAGTCTAAAACTTCAGCTCAATTTATTACTGAGCCAGCCATTAAAACGCCTTTAATGGCTTCTGCTAGGGTATCTGATTCAATATTACCTTTAACAATAACATTGAGCGGACGATGCCTATGATTGTTTTTTCCCTCAGTGCTGTGATTTTGTGCCAGTTCGAATATGTTGGAGCTATTGGAGAATATTCTACATATAAAGTTCATGTATGCGGTTCATTTATGTAACTATTATTATTAGCTAGTAACAGTGCACCAATTCGAAGGTGTCCTTTTCTTTTAAAGTAATGTAAACGTAACAAGAAATAAATGTTGTAGTTTCTGAATCAAAATTTTAAGAAAAATTTTTAGAAAAATGCAAAGTTGTGGGAAGAGAAGCAGCTAAGATGTAGAGATACCGGTGTGTGTGTGTGTGTGTGTGTGTGCGTGCATACGTGCGTGTGTGTGTGCATACGTGCGTGTGTGTGTGTGTGTGTGAAGGCAGCCCGAGGCAGACGCTCTGCTGACCACAGCTACTAAATCAGCAACACAAAACCTGCTTTCCTCTCTGCGTTTCTCATTTTAAACTCATGTACGCTTGCAGAACAAAGCCGTCTCAGCTCTGCAGCACCAACTTTGTTCTTTCATGTCGTATAAAAATCTTCTCATCGCACTCGGAGGAGAGCAGAGGCAGCTTCACATCACAGCAATTCCACCTGTGGTAACAGAGGAAAGGGTGGCAACTGAGTGCAGAGAAATGCTCAGATGGAGCCCAGCCCTCACTGACAGGAAGCCAAAAGGCCATCTGCAGCGCAGCGCCATTGTGTGTCTGTGCATTAAGTTTTTTTCTTATGTCCCACATGAATTTACAGCCAGCCTTAAGTTAGCTGGATTGAATGCAGAGAATATATCATCATGTGCTGTGTGGAGGACAAAGGCAGTTTATTTAAGTGGAAAATGGGAAGCAGCAGGTTTGGATTTCAGCTCAATACTTTATTAAATAATCAATATAGTAAACATCATCATCGTCATCATCATGAAAAAGGAAATAAACAACAAAAAAAAGAAAAAAAAATGAAACAGTCACATTTGTTTTTCTTCAAGTTTTCCCCATCAACAGTATTTTCACTTTTAGAGAGACGCACACTTGAGTGGCTTTACAAAAGTCGCTCGAGGTGCTGCTTCATCTCGGTGCGACAGTTATAAAAGATGTCTGAGGAAAGTAACCATGGAAACTCAGGAGCAGCAGCAGCGGTGGAGGAGGAAATGGACTGGACAGTTACATATTTATCTCTGGACTAACATCTGTCCACTCCTGGCACAGGAAAAGACGCAGAAAAAAGTGAAGTTGTGGTGAAATTTTAACGTGTTGTTTTGCATCAGAGGACGCAGGCCGAGCCGGAGCCGCCTGCGACGACTGCTGCACGCACAATGGACGCCTTTGTGTCACCAGCTGGTGCATCGATGAGAAAAGCCTCTAACTCGATCAGTTCTTTACGAATTTAGCAACAAGACAGGGGCGAGCTCGGGTTTTAAAAAAGACTCCAGATGACCACATCTAACTTAGCGAAGTGACAAATGAAGCCTGGTGTGAGAGTGAGTCACGTGACACGCTTTGATCTTTCAGGACTTTCGAAAAACGAGCTTTTCTGTTTCGTTAAATGTCTCTAGTGTTTCTGAACATGAGCAGACCATAATGTTGATCGTTACACCTGCAGCCATGAGAGACTTTAATACTGACGACATCGTGTTTCCTGTAACCAATGAGATCCAGTTTTAAATTACCATAGAAATTCATTTAAAACATCACACATATCCAACAAAAGCAGAAGTAAAAAAAAAAGAAAGAAAAATATCTAAACTACCTGGCTGGCATGCATGCTACTACACAGCAACACTATTTGTTTTTGTTCATTTTTTCATTCTTAACAGCTCTTTTTGTTACACATCCTCGTATTTACATCATCAGTCTAAGGCGTGCCATTGAAATGACACACCAACCTACAGCAGCACTGAAATAACACAGCTCACAGAGCTGTGGCAGCTTAAAGGATAAGCAGTGATGTACTTTCCAGATTTCTTAGTGTCAACAGATCAAATAATTATTGATACGCAGCAGCTTAAACACAAACACATGCTGCTTAATTTAATGAACATAGGCACTGTAGTTTTTCTAACTCGAACCCTGCAGCTGTAAATTCCCCAACTAATTTCCTCCTGTGTCATTGATGTTTCCTATAAACTAAAGTGCCCACCCCTTTTTCATAAAATAAAAGTATACATTCACGTCCCGTCTTCAGTCAGAACCAGCTTGCAGACAAGTCTGAAAGCGTAAAAACCCAGTCTGATGCTTGTTGACAGTAAGAAAAATAAAGAACAATACCAGACTTATCTTTTAAGTCTTTTGTAACATTGTTCACAAACAGCCAAAGCCTCCTGCAAAGAGCCACCTGAAATATTCTGCAACTCTCAGTTGCCAAAGTCCCAGACGGAGGTCCCATTTACAGAGCGAGGTCCAAACTGCACTGTTTTATCACGGTTAAATCACAGGCATCGTGTGTCCGCCGTCAGTCAGAAGCAAGAATCCGCTCGGGACGCATATCGGGGGGTTTTGATTGGATAAAACAGAATTACAGTTCCAGCTAAAAAGCGAGTTAGTTAAGGAACAGCTATACAGTCCAGCTGCCGACTGATTGGACAGATGTGCTGAAAAAAGGGGCGGGGGAGGTGTTGCCTTTTTGTTTAGGGTCAAATTCTAACGATCAGGCTGATATAATCGTGGTTCTGTGCTGTGTCTGTGCTGCTACAGAGAGTGAAGAATAGGCCACGTGTAAGAAAAAGGCCTTTTTCATTAAAAGAAAAGGGTCGCGATGTGCTCCTCTACTCCTCATTTCTTGCTGATGTCAATGAGATGATTTAATTATCACCCAGGTCTGCACGAGCTGCATGGTGGAAGCAGATGTTGCCCTTAACTTTGACCTGCATGCACACGCAAACACAAACCAAGCCGGTGCCAACAAACTGGCCCATTCTGCCCTTCCTCGTCCTGACAATGGCTGGCGGGTGCGGGGTGTCAAATCTAATGAAACAGGCAGGGAACAACAGCTGAGTGTGTGTAGGGAGGGGAGAGGCAGGAGGGGGTGAGTTAAGACACAAGTGTCCTTGTTAGAGACGAAACCAGGCCGCAGAGAGAGCTGCGCTGACCTACAAGTCCAAAATGGCTGCTGGTCAACGCTGTAGAGAAAGCGATGTTTCACTACTCGACTCTCCGAGCGTGACTCACCACAGTCGCTCCTCTCAGGCTGGCGTGAGCTCATGCGAGACCCCTCAGGAGAGCAGGGAGGCTCAACTCCAGTAAGCTTGGATGAGCTGGAGTAGGCGGTGGGGCAGCCTTCACTTTGTCAGAGCTGGGCTTGAAGGCTTCACTCGAGGGGAATTGTTTGCTTATTTCTCCATGTTTTCATCCTGGGTTCCCTCTGTTTGATTGGGCTGCAGGATTAGAAGATGCTCGTGTATCGTACGACCTTGTGGCCGAGAATATAGCGAAGCATCACACCAAAGTGATTGCCACGTGGAGAAGGGAGGTGGAGCACCAAAACCTCCAGATGCCCTGCTACAATAAGATTAAGGCATTTCCACTTCACACAATAAGAAATTTTTATGTTTTAAACAGCTTCTTGGTTCAAATTCATCATAAACCCCCTCAAGAACCCAAAATAAGGGTCACAGGAAAGACTCTGAAGGATCTTGAAGTGATTAAAAGAGGAGGAGAACAAAAAGATATCTTTTTTTCCACAAACATTTACCTTCTTTATGTAAATGACTTACATTTTTCTTTTAAAAACACGTTTTACAATTAGACATACGCATCAGCGATGAGTCACAGACACACATATAATTTTTAAAGGAGCATAAGCCCAAAATAAGTTGGGAAGCCTCTTCATTTTTCTCCCCCAAACCCTTTAAATATGTGAGTTTATCAACCTTGATTAAAAAATCTAAAAGAATCCATACGTCTAGCGTTTTTCTGAAAATTTGAACATTTGGGCTTTAATCGAGCTTTTATTGTGCTGTCAGCATTACAAGACGTAGCTCTAGTTCACGGCGGCCATGAAGTCAAGCTCAGCCGCAATCTTGGCAGATTGGCTGATTTTAACGCAAGCCCAGATCAGCTGATTGCTCAGCTGTTACCCTTCTACAGAGCCAACTTTCTATCTCATATAGGGCAAGTCACTTTGCAACCCACTTCCACCCCAGCTCGTCCTTCCATGCTGTGTCTGACTTAATAAATATCACGTCTGCTGCCGCTGATGCCTGCTCTGTTCTCAGCTGGGTCTTGCAGCTGCTCTCCCTTCCTCTGGCTTCCCCTGCATGCATGTGAAAGAAGAGAGAGCTCCCAGAAAAAAAATAAAAAGCCACCAAATATAAATTACTGTAGAACCAAATCTTCTTATGACTACAGTGGTTCAAATGCAGTTGATAAGCCCTTAAAATCTAAAAACAATGAACTTGGAGCTCATCTGTGACCCATCACTGACATGCACAGTAAAACACACGAGGACCAGGGATTAAAGCCACTGAAGCACAAATGCCAATGGCTTCATTCAAGGGAATAGTCGAGCGGAGGGAGGAACATGAGAGAAATGAACTCCCAGTTCCTGAGAGCCTGTTGATGGAAGATGAGGATGCGCAGGTGAGGGATGAGAAAGTGGGACAAATTCAGAAGCAGCAATAACAAACGCCTTTCGTCTGTCATTTCTGCCTGGATGGCCTCTGGAAAGATTTGCTGCCTCCACCTCGGACCCCAAGCTGCACACGTGTGCCACACATTCACGCAGCACGGAGAATAAAGCACACACAGCAAAGTATTTTAATGTGTGTGTGTCTATAGTCCTGCCCAGTCCTGCCTGGGCTGGATTAGCCACTGAAGGTCTGCAGGGCTGCCGACCGGACAAGAAGGGGGAGAGGTTGACGTAGGGGAGGGGCAGCAGTAATCGGCTAATCTCATTAATACCACGGCTGTGGGTGCCCTGTCAACAAGATGCAGGGAACAAAGGATGGGGTAAACAGCTGATGACCTTGGCTGCCGTCCAGCGCACGATGCCTGCGCGCACAGCCATGCATGCGCTCGCACCAAACATGCCCACGGTAAACGCATGTTCGGCTTCCTCCTCAGGGTTAAATGAGACTTTAACACACGGAAGAGCCGCTGGCAGGTTTGAGTGAGTGAAGGGAAAAACAAACAGCAAGTGTTCCCTCAAAAGGCTCCACAAAAACACACTGCCTGTTCGTTTTGTTTTACTGAGCAAACATGGACGTCTCAGCTGTTCCCATCAGTCTGAACCGCGGGCACTTGAGACGGCGGAGGATGTCAAGATGTTGCTTTGTATTATCCATGAAATTTTCATGTGGACTATGTTGTCTGAGCCCTATTTTCTCTTCTGTCACTATTGGGAAAAAAAACGTGCTTTGCGTAAGGTGATGGCATCTCCTTGCCTTGTGCATACAGATTGATAATGTTAAGGTGAGGCTGTGCAGATACAGAGGAGTAGCTGGGACGACTGGGACCAGACACGGAAGGGAGCAGGTGGACCAAATGGTTAAAGTAAACTCACAAACAGCTGTAAGCCCCACTCAACCAGTTATCTGTGGACGGATGGGACAATGGCAACAAGCACAAATGCAATGATTCAATACTTCTGTGTAATTCTTTTAAGATAGGCCTTCATAGAAGAAAAAGGGGTGGAGCAATCTGCATGACAATTATGTGTGTGTGTGTATGTGTGTGTGTGTGTGTGTACGAGTGCATGAGTGTACACAAAGGCATGTGGTCAGCGAGGATGGGTGCTCACCGATCAAGCACCCGGCTATAATCCTGAGGGCCGCAGCCTCCTTCGCTCTTGAGTTCAGCAAATACTTGTGTGAAAAAGTGCGGGTCTGCATTGATGCGCAGCATCTTGGAGCTTGTGGCGTCGATGATGGCGAGGCAGCGGTCCCAGAAGGCCTCCTTGCCCGCCTCTACCAGGAAGGGCTTAAGAGGGTATGAGATCTCATTGCCCATGTAGGAGTAGGACAGGTAGAGGCAGGTGAGCAGGATGGCCTGCAGCTCGTGCTCCGACGCCACTAGATCACCATCCACTACGTCTCGGCACAGCATGTAGACGAAGACCACGTTGGCCGGAGTAACGAAGGCCTGGTCCTGCCAGCCCTGCAGCAGCAGCGAGCGGTCCACAGCCCGCAGCCAGAGCACCGGATCGGCCGGAGACAGATGCTTCAGGCGGTAGCAGCGACAGCACAGGAACTCCCCCAAACAGCGGAGGAGCTCGCTGGTGGAGGCCTGGACGATGACGCGCTTCGGAGACGAGGTCACCGTGCCCTGGGGGACTTTTTTCACAGAGGAAAGCTGCTGGGATTTGGTGTAGCCATATCCATGTCCCTGACCCATCCCCAGTCCATAGCCGAGCCCCAGACCCAGACCGGCTGGGCCCTCGTAGCTGGACAGGTTGGCACATGACAGCGACTTCTTCACATTCTCACGGTTGAGGTGCAGCACGGGATCCTTCTGGTAGATGTTAATGTTGTTGTTGTTATTCAGAGGATCCCCGAGGGCCACCGGGCCACCAGAGCCTTTCTTCGAGTTGCCCTTCTTCTTTGTAGAGGCCACAAGTCTCTTCCATGTGAGTGCTGGGAGGAAGATGGACTGGCCCCTCTTTAGCCCGCGGTCTTTTTGGCTGTTGAGGGAGCGGCTGCTGAGGCTCGGGTAGTGGCTGAGAGAGCCGGGACGGTTGTCATAGTAGCCTGATTTGCGAGAGCTGGGTGATAATGATAGTACGGTGCCCATGGTGAGTCAGTCAGTGCTTCACAGATTATACTGCCTCACTGGTGATGAGGAGGAAGTTTTTCCTTTTCTTTTATTCTAAATATCCAGGAGGTGTGATCTCATGAAGAGGTGAGTAGTGCAGGCATGTCAGAGAGTGCTGAATGACAGAGACAAAAAAAGGAAAGAGTTTAATCTAATGCAAAGTAGAACGAACGTAAACAAAGCCAACTAATCCCACAAACACATCATCTACTGCCAAATGACCCGGTGGCTGACTGTAACCTCTTTAAACTCATCTTGTGCAGCCAAAAAAGGACTCAACTGTGCATTGAATTTCAGAGGAGATCCCAAAAGTGCCTCCAACATCCTGGAAATGTTGGGTAAACATCATGAATTTTTGCAGTAATTAAACCATTTTGGGATAAAAATTCACTGAGACTAAACATCTCTGGGGAGCTAATTGAAACTGCTGGTGCAACGCTTATTTAACGTTTAACATATTTAGTCAATGTGGATTAACACCATTTGTTTCAACCCTTAAGGGCAAAAAGCTCACAGGATAAACTGGTCTATAAGGGGTTAACCACCAGTCTAATTTAATCTCCCTCCAGATTCCTGGATTTTAAACTATTAAAGGGATTCCTCTCTTAATCAGCAAATGCTTGAACCAACATGGTGAATATATAGCACAGTGAGCACAGAATGCACTTCAGGCTGTTTACAGAGCTACATCTGGCTATTCCTTGCTTTAAACCTTCTCTTTGGTTCAAAGAGATGAAAAATGTGACAGCAGAACCAGAAATGTACATGACTGTCCTCAGAGCAGCTCACCTGCGTTTACGCGCAGTCCAGGTACGAGATGATTGCCCGCTTGTGCGTTCCTGCCGCAGTCCGCGACGGTGCAAAGATGAAGACATAGGCTATAGGAGCGCAACACATGCACTGATTCTGCAGCTGCAGAAAATAACCAAGGACCAGAGCGAGCGGGACTGTGATCTGAGTGCAGAATGAGAGGCAGAAAGTCACTCTCGCAGAAGCTTTGACCTACTATTCAAAGATGCCAAGTGTGGTGCAGGTGTCATCCTCTGCTGCACCTCAAAAGAAGGCGAATGTGAAGCGTGACTGCATTCCGATTAATTGTCTGTAATTTGCTTTTCCACGAGAAAAACCCAAACTTTCACAGAGTCGGAGTCCTTTCAATGCATTCCATCTCCTCAGCAGAGCTGTGCGTAAAGTCTCCTCTGTCTGACTTCTCCCGGTCCCGGGGTCGGACTGAAGGCGGTGCTGGAGTGTCCGCACACTGCGAGCTTCAGTCACCTAATGACCAAACGTCGGTCGCGGTGGCCAGACCTCTAAGAGGACTCTCACACATTAGAGACAGAGCAGCCAGTGAGCTCACGGAGCGGCTCGGCACACACCGCCCCCCTCCGACACAGACTCCTCCTAACAGCGCTCGACGGCCGCGCGAGCACACACACACACACACACACACACACACACACACACACACACACACACACACACACACACACACACACATAATCAAGATTCATCAGCAGCACAATGCATCCGATTGCTTAAATATGTGTTTTTTTATAGTATCTGCGCAAAAAATACATGTTTATATCAGAAAACAGGCTATAGTATAAGTCATATAAGTTATAATTATTAAAATAAATACAAGTGACGTTAAAATATAACAATTCAAGAAACATAAAATAACCTACTGTGCAATTTACGAAATGGTGCAGAAATTAAATAAGTACAATAAATAATATTTTTTAAACTATACGGATAAAATACTTAATTAAAAAATTATGGGTATTAACATTTAGGCCGCTGTAAACTAAAAATATTTAAAACTTTTTGAGATAACATATTCAACACATTAAGTAGCTCATCTGGAGGCTTTAATTATATGTCCTGATTTTTATCAGTGATGCTGCGCTTTGACACAAACTTAAACCTTCTTTCTCAGGTTGAATTTGTGTGTTCAAGATATCTGAAATTTGTGATGAAGCTAAATTGCAGAGAAACAGCAGCACAGTAAGGCAAGTGCTACTTTATTGGTCTATGTGGCAGTGCAGGAGCAGCTGTAGTATTATTTGTTTGTAAAGCAACATTTGCACAAATGTTGTTGCCAACTCTGCGCAAAGCAACACTTCACCTGCTGAATGATGGGATTGTCTAATAAACGCTCTCAGCTACATAAACCGCAAATGGTGCAGAATGCATTCGGGCCAATAAAGGTGTAATGACTGAATGAAGTTGTATAATAGTCTCCCAGAAGCCTGGAGAAAAGTGTCAAGTACAGGAGGAAGAGGGGGCCTAAAATTATCGGTTGGTGTTGATTTATAGGAACATTAAGGCAAAATCGTTAGATTAAATGTCCTCCTCACAGATATATGAAACTGCACACGAAGCACATCCCTGAAGCCTTTGCTCCTGTTTACTATTTTTATTGTATTTTTCTGCCTTGTTTCTGCTGCAGTGCGATTCCTGCTGGTCATGATAATCTTTTTCGTGACATTCCTCAGATGAATAACCCTTTGGACACAAATCAAATCACAGAGAAAATGAAATATCAGACGATGATGATGAAATGACAGTGAGTAACCTATACCTGCGAGGGTTTACTGTGGGTTACAGTGAGTAAGCCTCCCTCACGTGGAGGCAGGTCTGCTGGTATTATGCAACCGTCTTCATGTGTCCATCCTGTATTGCGGGTCATTTGTCAGCCTGAGCTGTTGCTCATAAGAGGATCAGATATATTGTTTGGAAGGAAGGATGATAAAATATCTTCTGTTCTTCTACTGTTTGGATCTATGTGTGAGGAAACGAAGTCACGTGCAGAATAACTTGTACAGTTTTTATCTTTGTCATGAAGCCACGTGCAGTGAAACCAAATGGGTTTTTTTTAGTGCTTGCGAGTATTAAACTAGAACAAAGATATAATTTACTAAAGCTTTAGAAATCTTGAATAAGTATTGTTTTTAGATTTTGTAAAATCCCATTGAGTCTTATTACCAACTTCCTAATAGTTACAACTGCAGAACTAATGCCTTATTAACTTGTTTTACTGCTTCCTTTTATAACTTTGTATCTTTAAATAAAATAACAGTTCTATAAAAACTTAGCATTCATAATGCATTGACCACTGAATACAACAAAATATACCTGCAACCTGAAAATGTGTTTAATTTTGTCTTTAAAAAGATTTCCTGTTGCAAAGTGCTTCCACGCATTTGTTTACCTCACTCTTTAATTTTCCATGCCAGGGACTCAGAGGCTTTCCCTGGCACTTTGGCATCAATGGAGAGCTCAGGACTTTCTGGGAAAACAGGATAAATTTAGACTGTATCTCAAGGATTCCTCAGAGATGAAGGATTGCAGGAAACCAGAGTTTTAAACAAGTAATAATAGGCCAAAGAGATAAGGAGGATGCAGAGGACGGGAAGCAGGCAGAAGATAAACAAGCAGTTGATGAGTGAAGACAAGACAGAGGTGAAGTCTTTGAAGTTTAGAAACACTGGTAGATGTTACTGTTAGAATGTGACCGCATATTTGCAGAGAGGTGATTCTTTTCCTGGTGTGGTTTAGGTTTTTTGTCCCCTTAGATTAAATTCTATTTCTTGCGAGCCACGTCTGTGTGTCCCCCACACTGACCTGTGTGTGAAATTAGGATTCAAACATAAATGGGTATACATCAAACCAACAAACACTCTTTGATAAACTCCCCATCAGAAAACTGTTTTTTGGCAGTTGTGGGAAATCACAATTCAGTTGTTGCTTTTGTTTGACTGATATTTTTTAAAGATTTATATAACATGTGTGTGTAAGCTTCACTGT